CATTCCTGCAAATAGCAGAAGTTATTTTTAGGATTGAAATAATGACCTCACTTTCCCAGGCATGTAGCTTCAGCTGTTCTGACCATGGGCAGGTCAGGAATGTCAAACATTCACAAATGAACTCATGTGAATCTCTGCATAAATAAACATGGTACTTCAGTGAGGACTGTGTGATAAAAAGAAACTATATACAAAAAAACCCAAAACAAACCAACAACAACCATGTTGTGTTTCCAACACTTTGAAATACAATACAAAAAAATCCGCCTTTTTGGTAGAAGGATTCCATAGAACCTTTGGGGCTAAAATTGTTTTAAAAATTAGGACAAATTAAAATTACACTCAGTGGCCTGGTCTAATTTTAAATGACATGAAGTTATGTACAAAAGATTAGAACAGATATGGGGTGATGTTGGCAGGTATGTTAAACTTTAGGATTTAAAGCTACCAAAGCTATCATATACATGTAAATTTTACAGGAAATTATTTTTAAAATTGGAAGGCAAAGTGCAGGAAACTCAATAAAGGCAGTTAAAATTGGCTTTCTTTAAAAAGGGGGAAGAGTGAATAGCAGAGGAGTAGGATTGTTAGGAAAACTGGCAGGAGTAAGGGGGAGGTCTAACAACCATATTATTTTCTAGGATTTGCCTCAATCCTAGATTCTTTTGATTCTTTCTTTATTTGATTCTTTTGATTCATTTGATTCTTTCTTTATTTTTGGCCGCGCCGCACGCGCATCTTGTGGGATCTTAGTTCCCTGACCAGGGATTGAACCCGGGCCCTTGGCAATGAAAGTGCAGGCGGAGTCCCAACTACTGGACCGCCGGGGAATTCCCACTACCTTTCTTTAGAAGTTGCAACCAAGGGCTTCCCTAGTGGCACAGTGGTTAAGAATCCACCTGCCAATGCAGGAGATACGGGTTCAAGCCCTGGTTAGGGAAGATCCCACATGCTGCGGGGCAACTAAGCCCGTGCACCACAACTACTGAGCCTGTGCTCTAGAGCCTTCGAGCCATAGCTACTGAAGTTCACGTGCCTAAAGCCCATGCTCTGCAATAAGAGAAGCCACTGCAATGAGAAGCCTACGCACAGCAACGAAGACCCAACGCAGCCAAAAATAAATAAATAAAAAAATAAAAAATTACAACCAAGACCAACTAAGCCAATTTGGGTAAATAAAGAAGTTTTAAACAAGTAAGTTTCTATCATAAAGTTTAATTATGGTTCAGAAAAAATTGAGTGAATAACTTTCTCTGAAAAAATATATCAACTCTTTGTAGACTGCAGTTATTGGGGGAGGGGAAGATAGAGGTAAGTTAAACTACCCTATTTTCTATTCTGAAAATGATAAAAAGTCCCATTTCCAGTTTGATTATAGAGATGCATGTGCCCCAAATGGTTTAGAATAAATACAACAAGAAAGGCAAAAGCTGTAAAGCTAAGGGCATGCAATAGGCTCTAAGAGAAAGTCTCAGAAATACCCAAAGTAGCAACAAGGAAAGTTTGGCTGGAATTTGAAGTTCTTTTCAGTCATCTTTGTCTTTTGCTCCATGTTTAAGGATGCGCGTGAACTCAATGTAATTGAAATTCCCCTTTTTGTCAATAGGTGCTTCTCTGTACAGCTCGTCCACTTCCTCATCTGTAAACCGATCTCCCATTGTGGTCAGCAGCTCTCGCAGGTAATCCTCCTGAATGGTGCCTAAAGAGAAAAGAACCAGGGATCAGAAGTCACACTACTCTGAGGAGTAATTGCAAGGGGCATCTACACTTGACTAAGCATGGGCTATATGTTAAGAACTAGAAGCATGCAAATGTATGAAATATGAGGTCCTGACATGATGAAGTCAGCCTCAGCAGACAGCTGCCTAGAAAATGCCCTGTTGCTTAGTGACATTAACCTGCTCTGCTCTACTGACCTCACCCGACATCCATCTCCTGATCTCGATAACAGTGGCTAAGCCTATGCCTAACCACAAGCCATAAAGTATGATTAAGGAATCTAAGCCTCGTGGTTCCTTAAAGTAGCATGGTCACACTTATTTACAAGTAAATACACTAAAATCATCATAAACATCGATAAAGTGCTTCAGTGGAAAGAATACTGAAGTCTTGAGGTCCAGTTTTAACAAGCTATGTTACTTCAGGCATTTCACTTTACCTCCTTCTTTTTCTTTATATGTAAAATGAGATTAAAAAAATTTTTTTAAACATATCTAATTTTAGATTCAGTAACAAATATGTTCAGGCCCAGGATGTGCAAAAACACTGAGTAGATATTTGAGCATTAACTATGTTGCAGACACTGGGATAGGCATTGGGGGTATAGTGGGGAGCTGAGAGGAAGGCTTTGTACTCTGGACTTGTGAAAGCAGGGTTCTCATAAAGCCTGACTGCACATAAGAATCATCCAGGGAGCTCAAAACAAAACAACCCCAGAGGCCACCCTTGATTTATTATCTGTTACTGATATTTTTAAAAGGCTCCCCAAGTAAATCCCATGAGCAATCATGATTGAGACCCACTAATGCAGTAATCCAAAGGTAATAAATGACCATTCAAGCACAGAAATTTTGAAATTCATAAAGTAAAAAAAGAAAAATCTGACAACTTCCTTGTATGTGAAATTAAGCTAAAACATCGATAATATATTTCCTATGAGTTTAAAGTGTAAGGTCAGTTCACAAAAGAAACTCTAGATTTATGGATTGTTTTTGCTAATTCAATCCTAGATTAAAAAAAAAAGTTCTCCAAATCTTAGACTTTTAGCTTGTAGAAATAAATCCCCATCTCTAGCCAAGTCATTCAACTATCATGTAAAATCATCATTGACTATGTGCAAGGGACTGTGGTAGGAGCTGGGAGGGGTTACAAAGATGGGAATGGAATGCTGGTGAAGACACAGCCATTATCCTGGGAGCAGGGAGAGACTGTGATGATTAGAAATAAGCACACGGGCCTCCCTGGTGGCACAGTGGTTGAGAGTCTGCCTGCTGATGCAGGGGACACGGGTTTGTGCCCTGGTCCGGGAATATCCCACATGCCACGGAGCGGCTGGGCCCGTGAGCCATGGCCACTGAGTCTGAGTGTCCAGAGCCTGTGCTCCCCAACGGGAGAGGCCACAACAGTGAGAGGCCCACGGACAGCAAAAAAAAAAAAAAAAAAAAAAAAAAAAAAGAAAAGAAAAGAAAAGAAACAAGCACACAACTAAAGTAGAAGCTCAGGTAGAGTATGTGCCAGTAGAGACATACATAAAATACTTGGGAGGGGGGAAAGGGAGAGCTTTTAAGTTTTCCCAGAGGTCAGGAGAAAATAGTATGAAAACACAGGTAAGGCTCTATAAAGAATGTGACCATTGAGATGACTTTGAAGAATAAATAAGACACTTTACTCTTTTATGGTTTTATTCCCTTCCACTAAAAAAGTAATACCCATTGACTGTAAAAAATTCAATCAATACACAAATGTTTTTAGCAGGAAAAAGGTCTCTTCTGCCTGCCCCTTCCCTACCCCTTCCAGAAATAACTGTTCAGTCTTGATTTCAAGGGGAAGGAGGAAGGAGGTGGTATAAGGAGGAAAGGTAGAGGCAGAAATGGTGGAGGTAAGTCAGGGCAACAACGCATGGAGGAGTCTGGAAGGAGGTTAGGAAGAGTTGAGGGTGGTCTACTTGAACAGGCCAAATGAGGCCCTATCGTGCAGTCTTGAAAGCCAGAGTGGGGAGACTGTGCTTCCATGCCCAAACTATGCTTGGACTGTGTGACCAGAGGGTGTGCCTTCCTTCTCAAAAACTTGCCATGTGAGTTACCCCCTTATCGGGCATGTACTTAGTTAACCTTTTGGGTGTCTTTGAGAGTTCACTCTATGCAGGCAGTAAGTTACTATCTCATTTCCTCATTTAATCCTCACAACAACCCTAAGGTAGGTAATATTACTGTCCATCTTACAAATAAGAAAACAGAGGCTTAGAGAAGTTCAGTAACTCGCCTGAAATCACACAGCTATTATGCAGAATAGGATTATGAAACCGGGGCACCTGATTCCAGAGGGAGAGGTTAGATACCAGATCTAAACACTCTCAGAGCTGAGAGGTACCTGATAAACAAACATAGGATTGTACTGGTATCACTGCCTACAGCAATTTAAACTTTTTCCAAGATTGCTCCAGTAAAAGATATTCGTTTGACACACATTTATTGAGTGTCTGACCCTTGTGGAATTATTCTAGTAAAGGAGTAACATAAGTTTCCTAAAGAAGTTTCAAATATACCTATTAAATTGTAAATTAAATATTTAAGGGCAGAGGCAGTGAAGTGAGTGAATAACAAGCCATAGGCAAAACCTGTCCCCCCAAATCCCCCAAAACAGGTATGGTATAAACCTGAGGGTATTATATGTCATCATATTTCAAGTTATTATATATTTTAGTTGCCATAACCAAAAATTAAATCACTTGGTAATTAAAGGTTACCTCAGACTTACCAGTTGCTTCTTCATCAAAGCAAGCAAAAGCGTTTCTGATGACATCTTCTGGATCGGTGCCATTTAACTTTTCACCAAACATCGTGAGAAACATGGTAAAATTTATGGGACCTGGAGCCTCATTCATCATGGCATCCAGATACTCATCAGTTGGATTTTTCCCTAAACAAAAAAGAGGGTCATAATTTTAAGAGGGTGATAATTACACCACAAAACGCATCAACAATTCATCATGGTAAACATTTTGACAAGAAAGATGGTCATTTAAACAGTTTGCTATTTGCATTCAAGATAGCAAAACTATTCGGAAAAAAGTCTTCTCAATGAATAGGATCCGTATTAAAAGTCTGGAGACTGTGTGCTGTTCCACTGGATGTCAGGAGGAATAACACTGCTCTCACAATCAAGATCAGTGTTTGCAGTGCATGCACGTACATGGCTGGCCCCCAGCCTAACCCTGAGACCTGGCCAGAAATCTGCAGGTGTTCTGGGTACCATGCTTTGGGAAACAATGCTCCAGACTTTGAATCTTAGTGAACTGTAACATCATTAGATTGGCTTCACAAAGCACCATTAGATTGGCTTAAGAAATAAATATAAAAGGTGTTATAGAAATTCTGTTTGATTTATTAATGTTAAAACTGATCATTACCCAGGGAGGCAAGCATATCATGCAAGTCTTCCTTGTCGATGAAACCATCTCTGTTCTGATCGATCATGTTGAAGGCCTCCTTGAACTCCTGAATCTGTGACTGGTCAAACATGGCAAACACATTGGAGGTTGCGCGTTGGGGGCGCTTCTTGGTGGTCTTGGTCTTTGCTCTTTTGCTCGACATGGTGGCGGTTAAATCCTAACAAAGAAGGGAAATACAAGAAATAACAAAAAGTAAACTGAACCAACCTTCCTGATACGTTTGAGCCACTTAGAGATGTGTCTAAAGACTATTCCACAGGATAGTATCACTTGGCAAAAATCTCTCTCAACTAATCGATACCATTATGCAGAGAATCAATCTACAAAGAGAAAAACCAGACTCATGCTTTGAGTTCACTCATCCTTAGTAGTTGTGACAAAACTATGACCAACATTAATTCAAAGCTCAGAGCATTATCAACAAGATTTCCTGTCCCCAGTACTACTGGACAGCTGATTAAGGACCAATAACCCAATCTACTAGCTTAATAACAATACAGAAAATAAGAAACAAAAAATGTTGGGTTCTGTACATCAGTGCTATGGAGTACTGAGGGACACTAACTCATCTTCAACAGGTCTATCCTTCTGCAGCCCTAGCTGAAACCAGCCTCCCATTCTAAGGTGGGCAGAAAGAAGGAAGGACGATTAACTGTTGGGACAGGTCTTCATCTCCTAATCTTAGTGCCAAATATCATTCTTCCACTCGCAACTAACATTTCTTATCGCACCCTCACTCCTGGAATCAAAGTACTTTAGGAAAGATATCTGTTAAAAGGCTAACTGAAAAAGTATAGAAAACTCCAAAGGTAATTCATCAATAATTAAGTTTTGTAAATATTTCCACTCTATCCTAACCAATTTGTTGCACAGAGCTAAGCTAAATCACTTGAAGTGACTAAGTCCTCTAAACAAAAATCAGAGCACAATAAAAAATTTTAAAGCACTTTAGTTTTTAAAAAGTTTTAGAAAGCATTTTAAGAGGTACAGAAACTACCTTTGCTCTCTAATCTAAATTTATCCCTGTAAAATTTAAGTTAAAAATAATGTTTAATAATACCTAAGATGAAGAGGTAATTTTCCCTTCAACACAATATTTAATACTATGAAAGTCTGTCTGAAGTTAAAAATCCCAGTCATCAGATAATAAAATTTTACCATACCATCTTTCAGAGCTGAGGTGGCAATGGCAGTCTGCAAAACCTCTAACACACAAGACTAAGACACTGTATTCAGTTATATTCTTTGAAGCAGGTCTAAAATAGGCACTACTGATTTCACTCTCTGACCAGGACAACAATTTTAAAGCTTACGTTCTGAAAACAACATTTAACTATGATGTAGCAAAACACTATGCCCTTACTCTAAAAATAAGTCTGTGGATTGCAAAGAATGAAGCACTACCTAGATGTCAGTACTGCAAAGTGACTTCAGAACACAACGCTCTGCATGAGTTTAAAAACTTATTACTTACATTCTTTCCTTGATTACACCACATCAGCCAGGCTAAATTCAATTATGGAAATAATTAGAAAAGTTCTGACTCTGCCTCAGATTTTCTTTTTTTTAAGCTAAATCTATTCTCAGATTTTAGAAGGAAATTCCACAAAGGAGAGTCACAAATTCCAGTCCATTAAATATAGCACTCCTAGGATACACTGGAATGTGTTGCTGGTAAGATATACTCTACGTGACATAGCAGTTGTGATATATACTCTTCCCTAGTTTCCAAGTTTCCTGTAATCACCCTTTTATGAAAGCATATTTTTACTCTGTAACACCTCTGGACGCAGTAAATCCCACTACTATCTAAACTATATGGAACTGTAATGTCCCCCTCTATTCTAAATGCAGTTTTAAAAACTACAAGGAGTTATAACATATATGTATTATTCGTCCATCTCTTAAATGGACTCCAGGACTCGGGTTAGCAGTTGAGACCCAATGAGTGGCATATATTTACCAGTCCACGTCTCTTTAATATTTTAGGTATGCCATGTCTTTGCAAAACAAAGCAATATTTAAGAACAGTCTCTTTTGTTTGACTACATTATATTCCCCTAATGACGCACAAATGTCAGTTATTTTAAGAACAAACAAACTGATGAAAATTATAGGTCAAATGGTTGATACAACTGATTTTTTTAATCTACAAAACCTCATAGGGCTTCTCTGGTGGCGCAGGGTTAAGAATCAGTTATTTTAAGAACAAACAAACTGATGAAAATTATAGGTCAAATGGTTGATACAACTGATTTTTTTAATCTACAAAACCTCATAGGGCTTCTCTGGTGGCGCAGTGGTTAAGAATCCGCCTGCCAATGCAGGGGACATGGGTTTGAGCCCTGGTCTGAGAAGATCCCACATGCCATGGAGCAGCTAAGGCCGTGCACCACAACTACTGATCCTGCACTCTAGAGCCCATGAGCCACAACTACTGAAGCCTGTGCACCTAGAGCCTGTGCTCTGCAACGAGAAGACACCGCAATGAGAAGCCCGCGCACCACGACGAAGAGTAGCACCCGCTCGCCACAACTAGAGAAAGTCCGCGCACAGCAACGAAGACCTAACACAGCCAAAAATAAATAAATTTATAAAATACAAAACAAAAAAACTTATAATACTCCATTTGGTGTGGGTCCTCTATACACCTTTTAAAAACTTAGTTTGGATTATAAAGTAACACATACCCACTTCTTGAATTTTGATGTATTTCCTATTTAGCCTTTTTACAGTTGCTTTTTTTAAAAAATAAATAAATTTATTATTTTTGCCAGTGTTGGGTCTTCGTTGCTGCACACAGGCTTTCTCTAGTTGCGGCGAGCGGGGGCTACTCTTCATTGGGTTGAGTGGCTTCTCATCGCTGCGAAGCACAGGCTCTAGGTGGTGGGCTTCAGTAGTTGTGGCCCGCGGGCTCTAGAGTGCAGGCTCAGTAGTTCTGGTGCACGGGCTTAGCTGCTCCACGGCCACGTGAGATCTTCCCAGACCAGGGCTTGAACCCGTGTCTCCTGCACTGGCAGGCGGATTCTTAACCACTGTGCCACCAGGCAAGTCCCCTATTTAGCCTTTTTAAAATCACGCATTCTTTAAATTTGTAAATGCATTCTAACATAGTTTTTGAACATTACAAAGGTTTTTTGGGGGTCAGCACTGACAGTGGTCTCACAGAATTTTTCTTTAGCTCATTCGATACTTAACCATCAACCTTTAATATGATCAGTAGAATTACATTCATGTGCATTAAATGTCATGAGTGCTGATTATTCTTTAAGAATTAAGAAATGTAAGGTAGGTGTGCTATCTTCAAGGAGCTTAAAATATAGTTGGGGAGGCAATTTTAAAGAAATGAGATGATTGGTTCACCTTATGAAATGAGTCACATAGTTTTCATTCCAGGAGTATGGCGCTCAAGTTAAAACAATGTGTAACAAAAATGAAAAATAACTCAAAGGTGGTACATGATTATCAAATATTGTGAGTTCAGAAAAGATCTTTGTTTCTAAAAGATTTGGGCGGGGGGAGAAGACTGAAAAATCCTAAAAGCTACAAGACATCCTTAGAATTAAGAGACTTAAATGTTAGTCTTAGTTCTAACAAATTAGGGTAGTTAATTCTACCAAAAACTGGTAGTATACCGTTGGGCAAGTTACTACATGGGCCTTTACTTTTTCAAGGAGGTTGGATTCTGATCTGTGAGTTTACCTCCCACCAGAAACCCAGATCCTTATAGTGATAGGGAGTTCAGCTTTGCAGTCGGTTATTTCAAAATAAGGAAAGGGTGTTTTTTATTTTCCCCTACCAAACTGAAAGTATGGGTGGAATAAACACTGGCAGAGAGGGAGCCCAATAAGGAACAGTGCTATGATCCGAAGGAGAAGATCATTGATGACAGATACTGTCATTGTCCTCCTTGCTATGATTCTAGGATGCTGTCCACTTTTACCCTCCCCAAATGAGTCAACCCGTAACCCTCTGCATGTAACAAGCCTTCAGCAAACACACAACTCTCATAAACTAGGGCAAAATAAAATTGAAAATATTTTATTCATCAATGTAACTATTCTTTATTTAGGGTGGGAAGATTGCCATGAAGGCACCTGAGATTTCCGAGTTATGTCCTCACTCATCCTAAGTTATAGTCTAGAGTCTATTTTTTTTTTTTTTTTTGCGCGGTACGCAGGACTCTCACTGTTGTGGCCTCTCCCGTTGCGGAGCACAGGCTCCGGACACGCAGGCCCAGCGGCCATGGCTCACGGGCCCAGCCGCTCCGCGGCATGTGGGATCTTCCCAGACCAGGGCACGAACCTGCGTCCCCTGCATCGGCAGGTGGACTCTCAACCACTGCGCCACCAGGGAAGCCCCTAGAGTCTATTTTTGAAGCATTTAATTTAAGATCTTTGGTGTGAAGGGCTATATGTCGTATGGAACTTGAAAACCCACAGACTCGCAGAGCCAACTTCTATTACATATATAGAAGAGATTCAGTCAAGGAGATTCAGTTTACAGACCTGAAGGAGTATAATCTTGTCTTAATCAGGGAAAGGGAGTGTTGGTGGTAATGAATTTCTAGATTTATCCTTTTAGCTTGATCAAATAGGCAGAGAATCATCCAGGGTTATGACAAAAGGAGGGATACAAACTATGTAAGGAAGATGTTAGACTAGATTAAGTGATGGGGGAAATGGAAAATAAAGATCCTCAAAGAGGCTTTCCCCACACATCAAGGGCAACCAGAAGATTTTTCAGAATTTCTAGATACTTTGGTTTCATTTATAAAATGGGATTAATCCATACCAATATTACATTAGATTACTCTAGTTAGAATCCTAGAGTCCAGCGTTTGTAGTGGTAATAAATGTAAACTAATCCTAAGACTTTTTCTACAGAACTAACACTCAAATTGATAGTATTCTGGAAATATGATTATATTCTTTAAGGAAAAACTCCCATTTTTGAAAACACTTCCTAAAGTGAGAGCACGTAGTATCTGCTTACCAAATCTACTGTCTCATTTAATCAATGCACTCCTTTTTTCAAAGCTAAGTATATGTAATTTTTTGGTGCTAACCACGGCTTTTTAAAAGTACATTTTCAGGCTGGTGCTTCCGTTCCAACTAAAACAAGTTTTCAATTCCTACGCAAACTTCCGGTAGAAGGTAGGATTAGTTCCCTTAGACTGCCACACCCAAAAAGTTCTCAGCACTTGACAAAGGCAATTCTTTGTCGTGGTTCACTTGCCAGTAAAGCCTCACTTTTTTAAATAAAAAGCTTTTTCTGGTTAAGTTTTATCAAAAGGCTTCCAGAACATGAAACAAATAGTAGTAATTTTAGGAAATATTCACTTTCTTCACCTTTAGATATAAAACTTTTTGCACTTAAGTTAAAATCTCAACCTAACGCTTATTTCTGTTCCAAAGTTCTGTAAAGAACTGATACACTCTTTGATAAACCAATTCAACTACTTTAAAAGGAAAACACTTTGGGAAATTGACTTAACCCCGAGTTTCCACCCATGAGTAACACGGTATTGTATTTTGGAGTTTTTCTGGAGCCGCAAACTAAACCCCGAACTCTTCTTTGTCCAAATATCACTTACAAATAAAACTCTAATTACAAGAGTGGACACTGAGCTGAGGAAGTTGCTAATTTGAGGTGGTTATTCCCACTAAACGTAGCCACACAGCTGCAACAACAGCTGCAGCGCGGCGGGGGGGGGGGAGGTGAGGGGAGCGCACTGGGCTACAGTTTTTGCGCAAACTCTCTTAAATCGGGCAAGTTTACGTTATAAACTAAACTTAGTCCCAGAGTCAGCTCCGCTGGGCTCGGGTTTCGCAGGCCTGCTGCCGCCCAAGCTCGCAGCGCCAGCAGAGTATGCCACACTTCCCGAGCTCCTACTTTGGGCAAAGGAGCGAAGTCGGCGTCTGGGCCGCTTCCGGCCGCGGCCTTCGATGCTGGAGCTGGCCCTGGGGCTCGAAACCCGGGAACCGGCTGGTACACCTGCCCAGGTGCGCTCCCGGAGCCGGGGGAGAGCCACTGCCCCCCACCCCCAAGCCGTCCCGAGGGGATGCGCCCCGGCATGGGCCTCACGCGCCCGACCGCGAGCACCACTCACCCTGCTCAGTCGCGAGAACCCGAGCGCTTCAGGGAACCCCTCGCTGCCCTGGCTGCCGCTACAAACTCCCTCCCACTCCCAGAGACGCTGCAAACA